GATAAAAAAATAAAACTAAAACTAAAAATTGAGGCAACAATTATTTTAAGGAAAGAATAACAAAAAATGTCAGAAACATTGATCAGAATAAATAAGTATCTATTGCTAAGAAGGTGTCACCCCACATTTTCTATTTTAGCTTTATTATTACATATAGATAGGAACTTTAAGATGAAGAATGATCCAAAAATTTCAAAAATAACAAATCAATTATGTAAAAATACATCTGTAATTCTTATAAAGTTATAATAACTAATTTCTTCAAATAAATAATTAAATGAAAGAAAAAAAGTAATTAAGAAAATAATATAAATAGCACTAATTATGAGATTAATAACATTGATGAGGAAAGGAACTAAATATGATCATCTTTTTAAATTCTTTTTTAAGAAAATATATATAAACTTTAATTAAAGATAAATAAGAAAAAAAAACTTTAATTAAAGATACAAAAAATCAAGACAAAATGAAAGAAGAAAGAAATTAGAAGAATAATGAGGTTGAAAGAAATAATATCTAATTTTCTCTCTTTTCAAATCACAAAATAAATTTTTGCTTGTTCTCCTCCTAATTTGATACGAATTCCATAAATAGAATGATTTTTTCTCCAAATAATTTTTCTTACCCTTTGAAACACTAATCAGGCTTCTTATAAATTTCTCAACTACAATGAATTTTCTCTCCTTGTAGGATGAATAAACATTTTTTCAAAAAGTCTTTTATTTTGAAAAGAACTTTTTGTTACATAATCTCTTTCTTTACATCAATGTCTTCACAAGAATCATGAGATATTCTCTCTTTCTCTTTTGTTAAAAAAGTCACATGACCTAGAAATTTGATGGACATCTTAGCGACAAAAGTTGATACCATATATTGATCATTATCGTCAGAAGAAGAAGAGCCAAAGTGAAGAAATTTGTTCTTATTTGTTACAAATGCTCAACTTTTTTTATTTTATTTTATAGGCTAAATAATTATAAACAGTTATAAAAAATGAATAGTTTTTATCTTTTGATCTTCCATTTTCATTTACTTAAATCTATATTAGTGTAATGGATGTTATAAAGGGCATAATTAATCGGGTATGACATAAATATTTTTTTTTAAAATACAAATAAAAAATACAAAACAAAGATAAATGTCAAAAAAAGGAAAAAAAAGATGAATAGAAATACTGGTCATAGAGAGATGCCACATCAAATTTTCAATATTCAGCTTTATATATACATATATAGGTTCACGCCCTTAGATGTTATTTTATTACTTTAGCTGACATCGACATTTTTGTAAATCTGATATCTATTTTGGAACATTTTATAATGTGGCATAAGCTGACAATTGAGATCATAAATTTAAAATAATAAAATTTAATTTATTATAATACTAATATTATAATACTAATATCAATATCATAAAGATATATATATATATATATCATTTAAAAAATATATAAAAAATATCATAAATTATAATAATTAACCGCTTTTTAAAAAAAAATCATATAACTAATTTGATTTACACTCCAAAATTCATAGGTGTCACATAATTTACACATTAATTCTTCATTACTTAATATATGTAATTATATCAATGACATATAAATTGAAATTAAAAAATACATATTTTATTTGAAAATCACGTAATAGTACTATAAGGTATAATAATTAACAACTTAACATATTTTAAAATTTTAGTTGACTCTCCGAATTCCATATGTCTCATATAATTGAGACAGAGAAAAACATATATTGGTTTAAAATTAATAAAATATTATAAATTATAATAATTAACAACTTAAACTTTATAAAAAAAATCCTTTAAAAATTTTTAGTTGTCTCTCCAAATTCAATCGGTATTACAATAATTAAAACATTGAAATTAACATAGATTGGACTCCTGCTGACATTTATGTTTCCTTTTTCTAAATTTTTTCTTTTATACTTTATATAAATAATTTTTTTATGTAAAAAGTATTATAAATCATAATAATTAATAGCTTAAAATATTTCAAAACATATAAAAAGTTTTTGTTAACTTTCAAAATTTCATCTATACCGCATAAATTGGGAGAAATATAGATATATAGATATTTTAAGTTGCTAATTATTGTGAGTTATAGTACGTTTTATGTATTTCTCATATATATTACTCGGTCCTGATTTATGTGATACAAATGAAATTTCAAAAGTCAATGAATTTTTTATAAGTTTTTTTTTATATTAACTTGTTAATTATTGTGATTTCTAATATATTTACGTAAAACATACTTTAAATACAAATAATTAGCAACTTAAAATATATAAAAACATACTAAAAAATTGATTAACTTCAAATTTCATATGTACCACATAAATTAAAACAGAAACAGTAATATATATATGAACATTCTCTTAACTAAAAGTAAATTTTTTTACTAACAATTAAATCATTAATGAACAAAATTAAAGTAAAAATAAATGTACAATTCAACTGTTGACTTCAAATATTAATTCTCAAGAGGAACTCACCATATTTTTTTTATCAATATACGTAATATAATGGCACCCGTCTTCGTACTTGTTTTTCTCTAAAAGTAGGTGTTGGCGCAATGTTCTTGATAAAGATAAATATAGTGTTTTAGTTAGCACAGTAAGTGTTACACGGCGAGACACGTCATTCCTTAACATAGTTTTAAATTTTTAAGTATCTTATACTTTGATTTTGTCTTCGTTTTATTTTCTCATTCACACCAAAATACCAATTTAAAAACACCGAATTAAATCGAACCGAAGTAAAAAATATCGAACCGAACTGAATTAATTTGGTATATGGTGCACACTATTCTAAAATCAAAAATTGAAAAACCAAATCAAAATTTGTTCAAACGTAACTGAAGAATCGAATATCCACCCCTATACCTAGCTACAAAGGACTGCATGCAACTAACCATCAACTACTTTGTATTCCTTATTCAAGGATTGTAATGGAATGATAATTACATATTTATCTATAACAAAGATCATGAAATTAGAGTCTCGCTAAACTTGGGATATTAAATCGATTTTGAAATAGACTTGAGTTCTAATACAGATTTCAAACATCTAGTGAAAGGCCCACCCAAAATGAGAAGGCTTGCCCTCCAGGCTATCACTTATCAGCTGGCATAACTATACAAAGTGCAACATGTATTTGAATATCATGTCTCTTCTACAGTTTCAGGAAATAGCATGAACCTTGTAATACTAAAACTAAACCTAGTATACACAGTAATATTTATTTTTAACATATTTGTAATATTATTTTTGCTGATTTAGGTGAAATTATTTCATTGAGAGCCTATAGTTCTACGACAAACGTAAAATGGTAACGGAGAAAAATTGTTAGAGATCATTTAAATAGATATTTTTTGTATATTATTGTTACGAGCATCTCCGGGGTAAAGTAATAATGGAGTAATTGTGGTTTTTTGAAATCGTATTAATTTTAAGAAAGGAGAAATTTAATTGTTTGTTTCAATGGTGATTGACTTAGAGAGATGACGGAGAATGTTCAAAAACATATACTCTGTCTCAATTGATGTGATACATTTTCGATATCGAGATTTAAACAAACCTATTTTTATATCTTTTAAATATTTAGAATAGTCAATTATTGTGACTTATGTACTTTTTACTTAATTTGTAAATATGTAAATTTCATTTTAAAAAAAATTAAAGATTTCATGCGCAAAATTTTCAATCAATCTTAAACTATTTGACTGACAAAAAATTAAAAAAAGTGTTATATAAACTGAGAAGACAGAAGGGATATATGATTATTTCATGTATACTGTACATTTATTTAATGGGAACTTTCGTAAATAACTACTATAATAAATTTAATTATGCTTCATTATAGTTTGCATATTTATAGGCCGTAGCTACAGTTTAAGCTGTCTCGTTTGTATGATTCGTGGGTTTATATAATTTGCGGGTCTGTAGAATTCGTAGATTTGTATAATTTAGTTATTTTTGTATAAACTCGAAATAACGAATTTATACAATTACAAATATCTGAAGTGTAAATAGTTATACAAATTATATTATACCAAATTACATTATACAAAAGATACAAATTATATTATACAAATTCCTAATTATACAAACATGCGAATTATACAAAACTAAAAAGTTGACCCGCGTAATTATAGCTAAAAGTAGGTCGCGAATTATAATTAAAACAAATTATAGCTATGTTAACTAATTAACTAGTATATGTTTGTTTATACGCGTAATTTTCTCTAGTTAATTAAAATATTTTTCTTCATTCTTTTGGTGATTTAACAAATAGTGATATGTTTACGTGAGCCTCACACACCTTTTGTTGATCGTGGCTAGTTGTACTAAATTTTTTCTCTAATATCTCTGCATATCCCAAAATAGTTTCTTTATGCAACTTTAACAATTTGTACATTAATCCACATTTCGTTCTAAAATCGTTTCAATACCTAATTACGATTACCTAGAACACACAAACTTTGCTTTTCATACGAATCAGAAAGAAAAATATTCGAATCCCTTTAATAATCATCTTTAATATACAGTTAAAATATTTGTAAACTTTTCTCAAGCAATTATATACATTATTGATCATGGTTTTAGGAAAACAATGATTCAACCTTTTCATAGCATGCTTGTACCTATTTTAATTTTGAAGTAACACTTTTATTACTTCCAGCTCAGACTACGATAGCTTAACTACACCACTTAAAAGACCAACTTGTAAACATTGAGAAGAATCCAACTAACGAAAATGACTCATAAATATCTAAGAAAATATCAGGAGCTACCAGATATTAGAAAGAATGACTATAGTGAAATATGTCTATCTATTCAATATGAACTTAAATTTAATCAAATCACAATTATTTTATTATTACTATTTTTATTATCTGCATTAAGTTGTGTACCCCGTGGTTATTTACTTGTACTTTGTATTTTTAGAACACAAATGGCAACCGCAGAATAACGAGCTATTAGGAGAAATTTCTCAAAATCCACTAACCAAAAATATCTGACTCTTCTTCTCTCTCCTTCAAACTTGCCTGTTTTCCCCCTAAACTCTACCCGCCATTTCCGACCTCCCAAAACAATTATGCAATTCCAACAACTAATCACAAAAAATAAATCACCGTTCTATCACCACCGTCTCCGGCACGGTGGCCGGCGAATCATTCACCACCAACCACCACAACTTTCTCTATGAGAAAATCACCTTTCTATGTTGCTAATGGCTCCGAAGCATCTCTTTCATCTTTTCCGTTAATACCAGGTTCTACGATATTATCTACGCCTTCACATATCCCTTCCAATTTCAATTCCAGTTTGCCGCTACCGGATCCATACTCGAATTCTACTTTCCTTTTTCCTTCTGCTCCTGTTGTTGACGGAACCTTTGATTTTGTAACAATTTGTTTTATCTCCGGTCTTCTTCTTCTTTCTCTACTTTCGTTTGTGTTTATCTTCCATCTCCGTCTTAGATCTCGTCAATATCCGCACCTTAAAAATTTCAATTCTCTGTGGACCGTCCGTTTACTCCTTGTTTTCTTCGCTATTCTTTGGGCGTTAAACGAAGTTTTCCGGCTAAATTTCATTCGCCGGAATTACATTCTCCCTTTCTTACCACCTCTAACCCTAAATCAACAAGCAAATCTGTGTAAAGTTCATGTGGTTCTCTCTGTGGGTTTATTTGAACCGGCGTTCTTAACCACCCTTCTTTTCTTAGTAAACGTGTCCATTAAGAATCAAAGTCCAAGTGGAATTTGGGCTGTTATCGTCGTCTGGCCGATTTGTTTACCTCTTTTGGTGCTTCAGATCCTTGCTGTATTCTTCTCCCCATTGCAGAAGCATCTACCGATATACCTGCATTCTAGCTCCTTCGTTTCAACAGATATTTTGGGGAACCAGACGGTGCTCTGTACTTACCCTGTGTATAGTTCTATTTTGTTTGGGGGATTTACTGTTGCTTACTTGTTAGCCTTTGTAATTTCGTGTTGGAGAGTTATCTCCTTTGTAATTAACAGAAAAATTCAGGTACGGGTGAATTTGCTGGCGACTTCTTTCATGATTGCGTTGCCTTTGCAGATTCTGTGCTTAGTATCATTACCAATTCGGCCGCCGGATGACCCATTCCACTGTGTTTCCATGCTGGTGATGTTCTTAGCTGTTGCGTGGTGTATAACGGTTGGGGAGGTTACTTTGGTAATTAAGCCGATTGCAGATGCATTTGCCGCTGGTAGAGCAAGTAGCTGCCGTTTGAATCCCGGAACTACGTTAGGACATCCGAACGGTGATGGAGGAAGAGTGGAAGGACAGAGTTAAGTAGCAATGAGAAGTGGCCATGATCGCCGGCGGAGGACATCATGGTCATTTTACTAATCAACAGAGGGCGTTATAGTTATTAGTTAGTATAGTTTAATATGGCCCTCTTTATGTAATTCTTAGAAATTAGTGTACCATATATGTAATTAGCAGCTTATGAAATGGCCAACTCTTCTCTTTCCCCTGTTACAGAGATTGTTTTCATACTGTAATGAGAAATATTGCTGCTTTATTATTGTTACAGATGAGCAACGATTTCATATTGCCGGTTTTTAGATATAAGTTTTTCATTGTATTTTAATTTAGAGGAACTTTCACATATAACCATTCAAAATAGCTTAATTACTCTCTATAACTATAATTTGATAATTACAATTTATAGCTATATGTTATAGGGAGGAGAGAGGCGAACGAGAGAGGGCAAAGAGTGGGAGAGAGATGAATTGTATATGTATATTGGTTAGATAATTGCATATTGTACATATGTATTTGTATATATGGCAAGCAAGATTGGGAGAGGGAGGAGAGAGGCGAGAGAGGAAGGGCAGAGAATGGGAGAGATGTGAATTGTATATGTATATTGGTTAGATAATTGTATATTATACATATGCATTTGTATATACGCGATATTAGGAGAGGGAGGAGAGAGGCGAGCGAGATTGGGAGAGAGAGGCAAGCAATAAAGGGCAGAGAGTGGGAGAGAGGTGAATTGTATATGTATATCGGTTAGATAATTATATTTTATACATATGTATTTGTATATTCTGGCGAATTATACATATACAAACGTGACTAATTATACAAGCTCAAAGTCAGCCCACGTAATTGATGTATAATGTTAGTCGCGAGTGGTAATTATAACAAACTATAACTATGATGAGTAATTAAGTAGTATAAATTTGCTTAACTGCATAATTTTCCCTTTAATTTAAACCAATTTCATACATTGCCACAATAATCAAGGACAAAATTCAATTTAACCCAAAATATCTTTTACCGACATAGGTAATCAAGAGTTGACGGTCTGATTTCACCTAGTAACGACTTTATTCAATACAGAAAGCAACATAAATAAGATCTATAACTTGATTCAAATAATATAATGCCCATTATGGAAACCATAGGCTCACATTTAAGTGAAGGGAAAAATACTTGGACAGAGCAAACATATTTATTCCAAATAGAGAGAGTTTAAAATGATTATAATACACATTATGTTTAGATTTTAGTTATTTCTCTCTATATTTGTCGATTAGATTTGTATTTTTTCGCTCAATATATTTAGCTCTAATACAAAGCAAATTGATACACAGATACAAAGTAAACTAATACATTGTATCACAAGATTTTTTAAATAAATTTGTCATATTTGATGATTAGTCAATTTCTCACTATAATTGATAATTAGGGATCAAGTATCGCTATTTCTAAAAAAATTCATGTGTATGAATGCTTGTAGTATCTGGGCCACCAACATCAAAATACATAAGGCCCATTTACAACGAGCATTGGTGGACTGCAATTATACTTGTTTTTTTTTGGTAAACAACACAAATCTCACTAGTTTAGAATCTAATTATCCCTTTTCCCATGAATTTACAATATTACCAATTCTACCACAATTCACACCTTGAATACATGTATCTGACGCATTTAGATACATATATCTCGGATACATATTAATTAGATATATAATTAATTGTATTTAAATAAGGAATGTAACTGAAAAAAATAAATTAAGGAGAAATCAGGCATTTAAAAACTTTAGAAAATTTCAAATAATCAATTTTTTTTTGTGTATTTGACTATATATCTGAATTGCTCTTCTGTGTATTTGATACATAACCTCAATGATTAGATGTATCTAATATGTTCATTCTATGTATCCGAACTCTTCTTTTATGAATCTGATATAATTTCTTTTATGTATCTCTCGCACTTCGTACTTTTTGCTTTTGTTCACGATCGGGTGTTGTACCGAATGATCACTCAACCGTATCATCACTGTAGTGAAGGATATCAATATGTACTTAATGATTAAATGTATTTGATCTCTTCATTTTGTGTATTTAAAATATTTTTCTATGTATCTGATATCTAATCGGAAAAATGTCTACTTTCCATGGCTATGTAGTGGCTTCCTTCTCTGGTTTCCTCAATTCTATCGTTGCCTTAGTATTCTCCTATATGGGACATGCTTAAGTATTCTCCTATATGGAACTTGCTTAAGTTTTCTGTGAGACAGACATTAATTAGTTGATTATATTTTATACAATTTCATTTGGTTTCAACATTGTTTGGAGCCTCCAAATCAACTTTAGAAAACGTCAAATCTTGTTGGATAAAGTGGACAATTTGAGAAATTGATACAAATGCTCAATTTCACAGTTTCAAGATTGATGTTATCTCTATCGTTTTTCTCAGTTTTAGATATACCTCTATCATGAGTAAAATTGAGAACCCTCCAATTGATGGATATGCTCAACTTTTCTCCGATCTTGCTGGCATTTTTGTTGTACGACCATTGAAATCGGTGACGATGCTAACCTTTTTGCTCGTGGAGTAGGTGGGGGTGGGGGAGGAGAGATCATGTTGTTAGGGTTTTGCCCTGATTTTCTTTCCTTATTTGAAAGTTATTTTATTTCTTAAAGAAAAGTTAAAGTATTACAATAAATGTTTGAACTTTTTCTGAAAGAAAAATATAATTTTTTCCATATTTGGTTTATTTTTTCCTTCGTGTAAATGTTTGGAGATCTATAAATTGAACATTTATTCTCATAGCACAACAATAACATTCACAATGTAGTTAATAAAGAGTTTTGTTTATGAGGAGATTTCCCCTCAATAGTTTTTGATATATTTTTTTATTAGTTTTTCATATGTAGGCCAATTGGTCATACCATATTAATAATATTATGTCTTTTAGTACAGTTTTATTTGTCATCTAATTTTTTATCATATAATTTGTAAATTATAAGTTTCCGCATGACGCCTTAATCTTCTTCATAACCCAACACATGTTGCCTAAGGAGACCGGCAGAATGGGACTCTTGATGAGTGAGAAAGAAACTAATGTTAATGTATTGATATTTAAATATAAAGATAATTAATTAATCCAAATTTTAAGGGAGATGTGCATCTAATTATATTTTAAAATATATAGTATAAAATATTAAAAATGGTAATATATGTAATTATTTTAAAGTAGAGGTAATATTAATATATATGATAGTAATGTATGTCTAGTTAGGTAGTTTTTCCTTTTCTTTTTTTTTTGGAAATTTTTCTTCAAACGATTGACATAATATCCTGCTACACATATTCACCCATGCAATAATGATGAGCTGACTGTTTGAATAAATTAGCTTTAATTTCTTCATATATTTTAAAGTTAGAAATCAAAATTTGGTTTTATAAAGTTGTGTTTGAACCTACATTTTTCTTTTAAAAAAATTGAAATTTTGCGAGTGAAAGTCACAAAATCCGAAACTGATTTGAATAGTTTTTGGGAACTTAAAAATATTTGAAGATCAAAAAATTCCTAAATATAAATCTCTAAAATCAATGATCAAACGCTCGAGAAAATATAATCTAGGTTAGAGCCTACAAATAATATTGGAGAATCTTGCACAACTAGCTAACTGCCCCATATCTGTAAACAAATCACATGGATTTCAGTATCAATGTATTGGACCTTAATTTTTTTGTGGTGTTAAAATGCTTCTGGAAAAGGGATATAATTATTCTTCAATATAAGTGTTGTCTAGTTAGTCAACTTAATTCTTATTGTGAGGCTCCAAATTCCCCTTAACCAAAAACATAAAGGAGAATCCATAATAATGTCATGTTTGCTAATTGAACTAGCTAAAGGTAGTTAGTTGACAAATCTCCAGTTTAAGCTTTCATTTGATGGAACTTTTCAATAGATTGGAATTTATAATCGGTGAATAGTTGGTGGCATAGGGGTTAGTTTTTGTAAAATTGCTAGTTTGACTTTTGGGAAAGAAAAAAAGGTAAAGGCTCAAATATGTTATCAAAACCTTATTTATGACATTTGTTAAAAATTTGACTTATTTTTGTCATTTTCATTTGAGAAAAAGGCTCCTGCATGTCATTATTTGTTAATAGAAAATAATTTCGATTTTTCAAAATCATTTTTTACACGTGGTGAATTATGATTCGACCACGCTATTACTTATATTAATTTTCTTAAAAAGAAAAAGGCTCAAATATGTCATCAAATTTTGAGAAAAGGCTCATTTATTCCATCAACTAAAAATTTGGCTTTTCTATGTCATTTTAGTTGACAAATAATTGTATGGACGAGCCTTTTCTCAAACGAAAATGACATAGACGAGCCAAACTTTTAACGGATACATAAATAAATTTTTAATGACATATTTAAGCTTTTTCCAAAAAAAAAAAAAGAAGCGAAATAAATATTAAATATAATTTTAAAACGGATGAAAACCATTTATTCCCCCCAACTCTTTCTTAGAGAAGGTTTGAAAATGGGGTGGAAACAATTAACTTGACATATTGTATCTGTGTCAAACACACCTTTTGTCCTTATAAATTTACCTGCAAAGTCGCTCTTAATTTCTATTGGACAATTAGTTATTTAATTTATTCCAAAGAAGTAGGTGACACGCATGTAACACATTGTATAGGGCAATTTCCCATAATATAGCAGGATTACGATTTAACACGTGAGATTAAAGATTACGATAATACATTGAAACTAACCATTATATTTACATAATATATTCTACACTCAAACTCTATTAAAATACTACCACCCCCCCACCCCCCCCATAAGATAAGACGAATTGAATTTGTCATTTGACCGTAGAATTTTGATTTTTTTGTATTGTTATTTCATCCCTCTAGCTCTTTTTCTTATACAATTCTAAAAATTACAAGTATAATTTAGATCTTACACTATGCGATTTATGTAAGTTATACTAAATTATATCTAACAATTTTTTTTTAATTTAAATTCAAAATATTTTTGGCGAGATGTATGCTCAAATATAAATTTAACTTTATTTAAAACTCGAGGAATTTTAGTAGTTTAGTTGGCTAACCATTTAAATTTCCACCTTGTAAGTGAGAGTTTGATTCCCCACATTGTAATTCTCTCCCCATTTTCCCTTCCCCACACCCATTTTTTTTAATAAAAACTTTAATTAAAACTTTTAAAAAATTAATTAATATGAAAATATAGAGGAAAACTACCCTAACGTATGTACTTATTTTTATTTGTCAGATAATATATTTATACCTTGTCAATATAAGATTTATAATTTTTTTATCAAAACATTTAGCTTTAATTTGAATTCGCGGGAGATTCACGAGGTAAAACATGCATAATATAATAAAATACGTGTATCTACTGATTCAATTTTAAATAAATTTAAATATCCATTAAGATTAAAGAACATAGATGTAATTTCAAGTGATACTGCACCTTCCTGTTTGCTGTAAAAACTAGTTCTTATCTGTATCTGAGTCGGCAATTGGGAGAAGTCAGCAACACGCTTTAATTCTTTGTACACAATTGACATATTCTTCTCCCATTTTTGCTTCCATAAATACCCACCATATCCCCAAATTCAACAATTCTCTCATCTCTCAAATTCATCCTCTGTTGTAAAACACAAACTCTCAATTCTTTTGAAGCAAAGTTTATTTAATTTCAAAAAAATGGGGATCGGACACAAACACCATCCTCATTTCAAATTTCATGTTCAACTGCATCTGCCTAGTTTTCATCATCATGAAAATAAAATCGAGGAATTCAGGGAACTCCCAAAAGGGTGCGTTGCGGTAATGGTGGGTCAAGGTGAGGAGCAGCAGAGGTTTGTTGTACCAGTGATGCACATCAATCATCCTCTGTTCGTCCAATTGCTGAAAGGAGCAGAGGATGAAGTAGAATTTCATCACGATGGTCCTATCAATGTTCCTTGTCATGTCGAGGAGTTTCGCCATGTTGAGGATATCATACAACATGATAATAATAATAATCATCACTTGTGGTGCTTCAAGGCCTGATCTTTATTTTATGTGTATCAGGATGGAACTAGTAGTCCACATCTAGATTCGATTGAATTTACTAGATTTTATTAAAAATTGTAATTATGTTGATAAATAGATATCAAATTCAAACTTTAATTGTGTAAACATTCAGAATTCTTAAAATTGAAATCCTAAATTTGGCTTTAATGTGTATGCGTATATAAAGTTGCTTGGCTTTTTTCTTGTTTTTAGGTCCCATCAATATCCCTTGTTTAGCCCTGTTTTTTTTTTTTTTTTCTCTTTTCATTTTGTTGATGAGATGTAATATGTGTGTCCAAGATGAGGATGATGATAATTGAATGACAAAAAAAAAGACAAAATGTAAGATTAAACTTTATAGTCCAACTGAAATTAAAAACTTGGAATACTGCAAAGAAAAAAGAATTATAGCTAGGAATTGTCACCCGAATTATGAGTCCGCTTTTACAATTTACAATCCGTGAAGTATATGGACGTCTAAATTAACGGAATTTCAGCTCACATCAATTCCCGTTATGAAATAAACATGATATCAGCTCTAAGCAATTAATATTTTTTCTGGGGATATTAAATCTTCCTTAGTTAATATTTGAATTACAAGTTAAATAACAACATAATTTTATCGTTGATGTTTATGGGAATTACCAAAGATGTGGCGGAGCAGTCTATCTTAACTCAAGATCACAAATTCGAGCTTTAAGTATAGAATAATTCTTGGTGAAACTTCAATGGGATCTATGTGGTACGAATTCAAATTAGTCAAACTTCAATACAGATATGGAGTGGAAAAAAAAAAAACTACTACATCTTTTTTTGTTAAAAAAAACAAGAAAATCATGTGATATGAAAATTTACTTTGTAAATCAACTACTATAATTTATATTAATGACAAACTTTCCAATTTATATGTCACTTGTGACCTTTTGGTTTTCGTGGAAGGGGCGAAGGTTCAAAATCGTCGTGATTATTGTTGATCCGAAAAGCAAGATAGACTCTTTTATATGATTAAATTAAATAGTAGTCACTTGCAAAATAAGTGTTGTAGTCTTTTCTTTTTGTTTTAAAATGAGTGTTAGTTTTAGAATTTCAAGAAATAATTAATCTAATTCTTTCAAAATTTACATTGTTTACATAATTAAGAATCATTTATTAGCTTTTTATTGATTAAGAAATACGTTAATAAAAACACTCTTTATTTTATAAGAATGAATCATTTCTTAAGGGATAGATCATAGAAGCATACATAAATTTTTTTAAAAGTAGTGTCGATATTTATAGAGAAAAGGATTAAAATTTATTATCATATTTACAATTAAGATATATCGTTTACCTCTTGGTTTAATTTAATTTTAAGGCAGAAGTGGTTTTGGATTTAATACTACTTAATTGCAATTTTAAGGTTTTTGCCTTTTTGGTATGTTATTGCAAAAGTGTACCTAGGTACCTCAAAAAATAAAACTAGGCATTGAGCCAACGCATGAAGAGTTACGTATTCATGGTTAAGTAATGTCATTTCGTTTAGTATATGCACAATATTAATTAATTAATTTTATATATAATAAAGAATTTCGATAAAGCAATATTGCTTGACACTTCTTCATTCAACATGAGTTCGTCTTTATTAAGATGCGCTCAAATTAAAAATATCTTTTTATTTTGAAACGCAAGATTACAAGAAATAAATTACAACAAATACTTATATGTTACTAGAGTTGCATTTAGATAAAAATGTAAGTAGTATATTGAACAACCACCACGCAGAAAAAAGAAATTTACGGGCATTTAACAATTTTTCCGAAAAATATTGGTTTTGACTTTTGACTGCCTAATGAATGAAGACAAATGACATCTTTTTTAAGAATTGCTCTGCCAAAGGTTCACGCCTTATTTTCTTCCCAATCTTAATGATATTTTTAGTAATTGTTTTTCCTTACCTAACTCCGATAAGTTTTTTTTAGTTTCTAATGGACACGTTTAGATTATATCAGATGAACAACTATCTGCTTCTAGCCGTTTTCTGTACAGCAGTAATACATTCCCAAAACGACAAAGAAGTTACGATCGATCCTATCAGCCTAAGGTCAAATACACACATGCAAGTTGCCAAAATCAAAATTAAATAAAAAACACACACATGCAAAATAATATGGAGATAAAAGTTCAGATATGAGATTTTCTATAATACATACTTAACCCTTTTCAAGGGCCAGCCGTCAGCATGAGGTGAGTAAATATACCGATTTTGACCTTTAATTTTGCTAAATTGTTTAATTTGATGACACCTACTGCCACGTCAATATGCAAAACAAGTCTTCGTCCTTATCTCATGGAGTGTGTCGTAGAAAAATAGAGGGAATTTCACTAGTAGCAGAACTTTAAGCCTTAATTATTAATTATGAGTAATTATAAATGTAATGCGTATTATTAGTTTTGTATCTCAACTTACTTTGTATCTAACTATCTATATATCAATTCATTTAGGGTGTGTTGTCTATGTTCGCTCTATATTAAAGTAAATAGATATAACATATATAGAGCAAATAGAGATAACAAATATAAATCGAATTGACACAGACGAATAGATACAATTCTAATCGAACATATAAAATTCAACCTTTCATGGTGTATAACAATAACTACATATACAATGTGATTTCATAAAGTAAAGCATGAGGAGGATAGAGTGTATACATATCTTTTACTATTATTTTAGAGGTAAATATTAGTTCCGATAGACCATTCAATTCAAGAAAAAAATAATCCCAAGTAGTGTAGAAGAAAAAACGAAAATAAAGTCAGTCATGATAAAATACTATAAACAATCTTACTAATCATCTTAAATACTCCCCCCGTCCAACAATAGTTGTCCACTATACTAAAAATAATTGTCTAACAATATTTGTCCAATTTAGAAAATCAAGAGATAATTTTTTGTGTCTATTTTACCGTTGCTATTAAATATTATTTATCATCTAACACATTTTCAAGCACTAAATTTAATATAGTCAAAGGATAATATAATATTATTACCCCAATTATTTATTGTTTCTTAAAGGGGTGTGTGTCAAGTCAATAACAGACAACTATTATTGAACTAGAGAATATTAATCATAATAAAATACAATAATAATTAAAAAAATATAATAAAAAATCCACGAATAATAACTAAACTCAAAAAGATAAGAAACTAGGATAGAATAATAAATCTCTCGTTGCCTGTATTTTACACTTTTTAAACTCACCTTATTTGGAATAAATAAATGACATACTGTAGGTATATATTTCTTAAATGTCCTTATGAGTTGTAACGGATAAGGCTCCTCTCCATTACACATTCTCTCCATTTCTCCAAGTTCCTATTAGGATGAAAGTCATGTGTCATAATTAAAAAATTAAAGATTGAAATTTAATGATCTAAATTAAAATTCTAATCATGATTAAAATAATAAATAATTAAATTCAACCTTTAAATTTTAATTATAACACGTGACTTTCATCCGAATAGGAACTTGGGGAAATTGTGAGAATGAGTAATGGAAAGGAGCCCTCATCTCGTTCCGAGTTGTAACCTTCTCCTTAGAGGCGGTAATTAGTGGGAATTTTAGCCTCAGTTGTTCCGCGTCTGGAACACACCCACCCACCTTCTCTTCTTCTTCCGTAAGTAATCAATTAAGCGGCGTTTGACACATTCCTCTCCCTTTGCCCTTTACCCTTTGCCCTTTGCTAACATAAATACCCCCATTCACAAAACTAGATTCAAAATATATCTCTTAATTCTCTCATATATACATATATATATTATGAGCAACATACCTAAATCTCTTACCGACTCTTCTCTCACCCTCTTCAATCTAGCAATCTTTTCTTCTGATCCTTGGCCTTTCTCTTTCTGATCAATTAATTTCTCCTAATTTTTCTGATTCAGCTTTCTATAAACTTGAACAATTTATCAATGGGGAGTGGAAATAAACACCATCACAATCATCATCTGAATTTCCATGTTCAATTTCATTTTCCATTTCATCTTCATCATCATTCGAAGGAGGAATTGAGGGATACGGTACCGAGAGGATGCGTTACGGTGTTGGTGGGTCAAGGAGATGAGGAGCAGCAGAAATTCGTGATACCTGTAATGCATATTAATCATCCTCTCTTCACTCAATTGTTGAAAGAAGCAGAGCAAGTCTACGGATTTCATCACAATGGTCCCTTAAATATCCCCTGTAATATCGATGAGTTTCGTTATGTTGAGGGTATGATTGATAAGGACGTTCATCACCACCACCACCATCATCACCACCTGTGGTGCTTCAAAGCCTGATTTTATGACATCTTGCTTGTATATATGTAATAATATAGTATTACTAATGACGACGATGAAAATTTATATGCAATAATATATAGTTGTAAGTATTTGTAGTTTGATTTCTCTGATCAATTAGTTATACTTTATTTGTTGAGCAATATGGTCACGATTTACAACTCACTCTATTTATTATACCTTCTTTTGAAATTAACGATTTAAGTATTGTAACGAGAAATTGGCGTGCTAATGGTCGGATTAATGTCTTCTTGGTTGAGTTTTGTTACGTTACTGATCGTATTCCCCATTAAATTAGCTAGGTATATATTTGGACGAATCAAAACTGGATTAACAAACTTATAGCTCTAAATCTATGAATTAGTCCCTAATTTGGGTAATTACATAGACTTGATCTCTTGAGGTTTTCAATATAATTGTTTCTAGATTTGTTTGCGCTAATTACACGATCAAATTGAGGGTTGAACAACTTGGCGTTTCTATAATGGAAAATTCTAGTTTTCTATTGTTAAATTAGGTCTTCGGCTTAACACAAACACATCCCAAAAGCTAACTCAAAGGGAGGAGGATTTCCCTAGCCTTACAAGGAGTCCACCCATCTCATTAACCACCGATGTGAAACTTTTGTCATTCTTTAACACCCTACCTCACGCCCAGTGCTCAACATCTGGTGCGTTGACAATTTTGATTTTGGGGCCCAAACATCGGGTGAGACGGGCCCTGCTCTGATACCATATTAAATTAGGTCTTGGGCCTAACTCAATACCGTGTTAAATTAGGTCTTGAGATTAACTCACATCCCAAAAACTAGCTCAACGGGAGGGGGATTACCTAAGCCTTATAAGGAGTCCACCCATCTCATTAATCACCGATGTAGAACTTTTATCATTCTTTAACATCTATGTTCACTCAAAAGGAGATATTTATTCGATCGATCGGTCAAGTCAGCTTTATGAAGTTGTTGCATGTAAACTTTATTAGCATTAATTGCTGACCTAATACAAATATTAAGCATATTATAATTTGTGAAAACTTTTACTGTACTAGTATATATATATAATTTAAATCCTTGGGAAATTGGCTGCAACTTGGCTCAAACACCAGCTTTCGTTTATACGGGAAACATAAGTGTGTAAAATGTGAAGAACTTCGACAAAGAAAACCCTTAGCTATACATTAGTATTATTTTTCCGATCGTGAGATATTTAGAATTAGTTATTTTATCTTTATACTTGTAACTCAAGTAACACACGATTTATGGTTTTTTTTGTTTCCCACCTGGTGTTCGGTGTCCACATTAGAGATCGACTAAATCTGAATTCACACGGAAAGTCTCACATTGATGGTAAAGTGCTCCCTAATAAAGGCGATTTCATACCCAAAGAGGCTCAAACCCAAGACCACTTAGTTAAGGATAAAAGAATATTTATCACTCTACCACAACCCTGGTTGGTTATGGTTTGATGAGTTTGGGCCGTGAACTAATAGTCAAGTGTCGGCAGAGACAAGTCATTAATTTCATGTCTGCTCTCTAATTACATGTGTATTCCTCTTAACATAAAAAGTTGATCATCTATCGAAATTTTGTGTCCAAAACAACAAATGGTCCAAAATTTATTCGATTTTATCCCAAGAATTTGGTAGTTAATTATTATAAATTTAAGATTTTTAAGAAGTTCTACCTTTTAGAAAATAATTAATTAAAGATATAATAGGTAAAATGAATTGTCTTTTCTTGATTTGTCAAAATAGAAAAGTAAAAAGGGACAAATGAAAAAAAGAAAATTGTATAAGTAATTAGGGACAAGAGTATTACTTTTGTCTCATATTAGTTGTCCCTCTTACTAAATTAAGAAAGTATTAATCAAAAGGAAATTTTTCTTTATCATCTTTGCAATTAATTCTTTTTGAGAGTATTCACATTTATTTATAAAATTTCCCAAAAAAATTTAAGGAGTAAATTAGTAAAATTATATTTTTTATTTATGATTTTAGTAATATGAGTATATAAAAAGGAAAATAATCAACGAAAGTATAGGTTTGACTTTTGAGAGTTTTGAATACGTCAAAGGAAAATCTTATATAGAGGAAAGCTCAAGAATATTTGGTCATTCAAGTACTAGAAACTCACAAGTTACAACACAAAAGTTGCTACTTTGTTTACTCAGCTCATTTTAAATTTATTTGTCCTAATTTTCTTTTTTAGTTCATTTTAAAGAAATCTTATAATATTGGTTCCATGCATGAAATGATAACTAATGTTTCCATCTCGAAGAGTACTTCCATCTAGCTCTGGTGTTCCATGTGATACTCTTACATTTTCTAATTTTATAGATTATTGCAAAACCTCATTATAATAATCATGCTTATCGGATCATGATCATCATGTGTTGTAGGTCATCTTTTAACATTACTATATTTTGAATTTTCATAAATTTCGCATAAGATAAAAGCTTGTTTCATATATCGTAGAAACAACTTGATTTGTCTACACTCCGACAAGCTTTGAAGCAGGGGGCATTTGTAGACATTGAAATTTTGTGGAACTCTACAAGATGCGTTCAATTCGAGTTGGGATTCTACAAGGTGTGTTCAATTCAAATTAGGATTCTTGGAGGCTACTCAACCCTAAACCCTAGTTCATGCCTATATAAAGGGTACAAAATTCTCTTTATATAGACATGAATTAGAGTTTAGGATTGAGTAGCCTCCAAGAATTCTAATTGAAATTGAACACGCCTTTTAGAGTCCCTATTAGAATTAAACACGTCTTGTAGAGTCACACAAAATTTCAATGTCTACAACATCCTAACAAAAACCTCCAAATGGACCCTTTTTGAAAAGTCATTCATTAATGAATGCCTTTCCATAGTTATTACTTTGTCCTAAACCTAAAGGCAAAGGATTCAGAGTACCCCAGCAACTTGTCTTCTATTTTGGAGTTCTTATATAAATTCACCATGACACCTCACCTTGCAAGGCAATTTATATTTGTCAACCCTTATTAAGTATAATATAAATAATACCTAAAAAATGAGTACCAAATTTGTTGGCCCCATATTATTTTTCTGGTTTACTGTCTTGAATCTATTGGTGCCTTTAAAATCCCATGTTCTAAAGAAAGTAAACAGTTACACTTGTGGTGTGTGGACATGTCAGAACAAGAATTAATCATACATACAGGTACATAGTGATGGAAAGTGACTATATATTTTTGTAGCCTCTTGATTTGAATATTTTTACGAATTGTTTATATCATATAGTACCACCTTGTTCTCCATAAATTAAAAAGATGAATGTGACCTAACAGGTACTTGATTAATTAATAGTGTAAGCCTATAAGGATGGTATATATTCAAGTCATAGAAATTGTGAGTAAAATTACTTTTGAATTTTTTTGTAACAAAATGATCATTTAATAGACATTTAACTCAAATCTTCTTTAAACGGTCCTAAAATTTAGATATGAGCTCTTCTCAATGTTTTGATATACTATTTACTCAAAACGATTCATACGTAGCAAATCTAACTTAAAAGCTTAAATTGTTCATAATTTCTAGAGTATAGTTTGTTTAGCCTTCTGAATCTATAGTCCTTCTAACGATCCCAACCTTAAGGCATTATTACAAGCACGAATTTTTGAAGGACTTTTAATGATCGACCGAATATATAGGGTAATTAGCTGATAATTAAGCTATTTTTTTTAACTATAATTCTAATTGATGAAGGACTCAAAGATTTTGAGTTTTATTTTAATTCTAAAAATAAAAAAGAATAGTTAGATTTTGAATGAATTAGAGTGGGTCAGTAGGTTTTTATTTTTTAATGAACTGTTTTGAATTTAAAACAAAAAAATTAATAAATTTAAGAAAAGAAAAAAATGAAACGTGAAAAAAACAAAAGAAAACGCGTATAAAAAACACACGTCGTATGGGATCGAACTCAGGACATTGATCATTGTATGCAGCGTCTCTGCCACCTGAGCTAGGAGCACTCTGTTATAAGGGATGTCCTTTTAATTATTTTACCGTTTAGTTTGTTTGTTTTTTAATATAGGTATATTCCGTAAAAAAAATCGACAAAGTCGTGTCACATGACACACCTTAGATGTACTTAAATCCGCTCCTGCACAGAGGAAAAATTCATGGTACGAAACGCTTCCCCCCAAATGGCCCTATGCAGTTGAAAAAATCCATATTAAGGCTAATGCGTGTAATTAAAGAAGATGACATATTTTAAGTGGTGTTGGTGTTACATAATGAACTCTTGGAACACTTAAAAACTTTTTTCAAAAATTATAAGTCAAAAGTAATGTCTAATAGAAACACTTTATCACGTGTTCAGGTACATAATCGAAACATGTCGTAATTGAATTGACTATCTCAATAAAATTTACACGTAAGTTTAAAGGATTATCGTTGTATTGCGTCATTGAAGTTTAAACATACAGTTACATGGGAGAGTTGGCAAAATAGCCACCTTAAAGACTTAATGTGATATTAAGTCACAAGTCTTGAATAATTTGTGGTATACCCACTATTAATGACAACATCCACATGCCCTAATTGACACATACAAAAGACCTCACTAAGTTTCCATATCTCCACTTTGATCTCCCCCTTCTTTTCCAACTAATTTGGAATAATATATTTATTTGCAATTGTTAAAATTTATATTAGAAAAAAGAAAAAAGCCTCCAAACG